CCTGCGCCCCAGCTGCCCCTTTGCAGCCCGTATTGCCAGGCACAGAGAACACCAGCTTGCAGGACGATGCTGAGCCCCAGTCCGCATCACCAGTTTTCCCCATTCCAGGTGGGAAAATCATGACCCTTCTCCCGAGCCAGGACAGCACTGACCGCTGGCACCCAGAGTAACGCCGGGGCCCTTCTCTGCGGCTGCCCCGGAGTCCAGCGAACCCACACGCCTCGGCACTGCCACGGCACAAAGCCTTTGGTTCCTTCACCCACTGTCCCTTGACACGAATACTCACAGCAAGCGTTCACTGGCACAAGCCACTGTGGCAGCCACTGACATTGAGCAAATGAAAAAACCCAGAAGAAAACTACCCTGAAACAACCTGGTGAGTGTCGTGAAAACTCGGACTCGTTTCTAGCACAAATACCTGCTCTAAGAGCGACTCTCACCCCAGCAGAAGCAGCAGCACCCCACGTAATCGCAGGGTACACACCATGTTAAATCACCACTGCTTCCATGCCAATTCTTTCCGTGAACTATCCAGAGACTTAAAGGATTTGGTGAAGCGCTTTGAAGAGCTAACAAATTACAAAAGGGAAAAAAAACAATCAAAGAAAAGCTGTCTTATACAAGAGGAACATTCATTACGAGCAGCCTGAGCTCCCTCCAGCAGCACCGCTCCCGGAAAGCCGGAGCCGGCCAGCCATTAGAGCAGGGCACGATTTTCAGCCCAGAGTCTCCATATTTAGTAACCCAGCTAACGCATCGAGAATGGAAATGGTAAAGGAGGAGAAATTCACTTCCGAAAACAAAACTCCAGCCAAAGCAGCGACACAGGAGAGGGGTTTTCACTCCCGCCAGACGCTGCTGGAGGTTTTACCCACCTGAGAGGAGCCGACTCAGAGCAGCAATCGTGCACCGCACGCCCGCACCAGCTCACTAACCGTGCACTGGAATGATCACGCATATGCACACATGTGCAGCAAATCGAGTGAAATCAGATTAAAGACAGTACATTTGGATTTAAAAAAAACTTACCTTGTACTCAAGCAGTTTATAGTACTATTTTCAAGATCCTCCCTGCCCTTTTTCCCCCCAGACATGTGGCCCCTACTTTTCAGTTGAAGCTGTTTCACAGTCATTAAGTTCCCTTCTGTTCTGCTTCAAACCTCCTTCCTCACACCCTCCCTTTCTCCTCGGCTTTTCAAACGCAAGGGTACTGTGAGACAGGGAACAACAGATCATCTTCCAGGAGGAAAACCAGAGACCGGCTTTGACCACAAATCCACCGTCTGCGGTGTGGAAAGGGAACAATTCCCAGACTCAAGTAAAGTGAAAAACTAAACACATCTGAAAGATTAAGGAAAAAACACCTTTAAGGAAGCGGGTTGAAAATAGAAGAAAGAAATGAGGAATTCAAACAAGTTCTGCACCAAAAGTGTATTTTTGCAGCTTTTTGCGGCTGCTGAAACCATGACTTCCATGTTGATCCCCTGAAAAACAGCGTTTGATAGCACCCAGGCCAGCAGTGCCTACGCAGTCATGATTGAAGGAAGCCTTTAAGCTTCCCTGACAATGCATTTTTCTTGGAGATAAAAAATGAATGCTGCCAGCATGCAAATCTCTCTAAATTAGGCAAGGCCCAGCTTGCTGGAGCTGCAATGTTTTGTGATGACAGTCATTAACTTTAGCAGAAGAGAAGAGGATGCGGGAAAATATTCTCAGCTACTTCTTGTCCCAGTTGGGAGTCACTGCTCGGGGAAGTGGTGGGGTTTGGCACGCTGACATCTGAAATTACGCTGCAAGTGCAGCAGAGTAACAGAAAAATGAGCTGCAGTCTGTTCCACTGCAATCAGTAAGTCGGTCAGAGGCAAATCACTTGGTCTTTCTGCAGCTCCCACAGCACACCTGCAAAAGGCTGCAGGAGTGGGGTTTTCCCTCTTCTACTGGTGAACTTATTGCTGCTATAAAAAGCCAGACTCCCAGTTCAAGAATCAGAATACTGATTTGCTACAGAACAAGCACAGCCAAGACCTGAAGCCGACTGCGAAATGGAATTTGGGCATTTTATTGATTACTTACCTTCCCTCTTAGTTTTGAGTATAACCTGGACAGACCCTTCAGGAGAGGCGACAGCTGACCGCCTGTGCCAAAACTTGCCTTTGATTCTGACTCACCTTTGGGAAGATTTAGCAGGAACGGCTAATGTGGTTGATTCCTGGTTTCCCTCTGCCACTGAAGAGCAGTGGAACTGGACACATACCAACGCCTCAGCCTCCCCAGTTTACATCAGTACAGTGGGTCATACATTTTCATTAATGTATCAGGCTGGAATAACTTGCTAACAATCTCTTGGGCTATCTGGGCTTCCTCTTTACCCTCCTCTAATCCCTGTATTGTTTCACACTGATCCCTGTAGTTTCCTTCCCGGGGGGGAAGGAAAAGTCTTGAGCTGCCCTACTGCAAGGTATGCGGCTGCAATCCCACTCACAACAGACTACTTAAATAATAAACAAGGAATTAAAAAAAAGGCAAACTATCTTTAATATCTTCAAAATCCCATTTAGAAGCAGTTTCATAGAAACATCACTTTTATCATGCAATCAAGGCTGGAGGAGGGCAATAGAAGGAGGGAGAACCAGACACCGTGTCCTCATGGGCAGACACGGAATTCGGCTCCCCGAGTCCTCAGAAATTCTCCAGCAGATCCAGGATCCGCTTCTGCTCGCTCTCCCGAAACTCCTGGTTCTTCCCATCCCCGATGTTCTCTGCGTACTCTGCAGGGGAGAAAGCAGACATACAACAGGCTTTGAGTGAGATACTAGTGAACGGTGGGCAACTCCTCTTGCAGATACCACAGCAGAATCCAAATCTGCATCCACTGCAAACCACTGAATGGGAATTTATGCAAGGAACATTCATGGTTCTTCTCCCCATCCCAGGGTTAAAGCTTTGCATAATAAACGTCTACTGACCCCTCATTAAAAGCTTTTATAGGAAACAGAGACCATAGCAGGAACATCTTGCTCTTGTCACTAAGCAGCACAACAAGCCCAGGCAGACACTGGCACCCATTCCCCGGCGTCTAACCGTTTAGAAAGGTGACAGTCCAGGTGCTCCTCCCAACTCCTCTGCTATCCCAGCGGAGCAGCCCACCGGCAGCTGTTTGAACTGGACAGTTGTATCACTGGCCTCTCGCAGCCCAAGAAATTCAAAACAGTCCTGGACAACACTGGCTTTCCAGGTTCCTTTTAACGCCAAGTACCATCAGGGAAGGTCAGGCAGGGGCTGTTACACAATTGTTAAACGCTCCTAGCCCTGGGTTTAACCTGTCTGCTGTCCAAGCATCCTGAATGAGGATTTCTGTCAAGTGGAGACCAATTCCCCAATCTACAAGTGCTTTTAACCCATACGGAAGAAAACACACTAGTTCAGATTTAACTACAAACAAACCCCTTGTCTTCAGGCAGAGGATACCAGACCCTGATCAAGGTCTTGCCCATCCATGCACACAGCCAAACACCGCGGAACCAAAAACTTCCTCTGCAGCTCTCCTTCCTGACATTCATTTAAAGCTGGCAGCTCTCATCCCCGCACCAGCTCCCTCCTTTCTGCCACCAGAACCTGCATATTCAAAGATGGTTTAAAAAGAAAAAATGAAAAGCAGGTTTTGAGCTGCGAAAGCAAGGAGCTGAACAAATCTTAGTAAATCAGGAGCAGACTGCCTGGTTAGAGTGTGTTCCAGCCTCCGCCTTCTCGCATTCTTTCCCTTCTTCCTAAACAAACAGAACAGCTTGTATTCAGCACCTGAATGGTAAGTTGCGGTAGAAAGTTTGCTTTAATATTTATACGTTCAGCACTGCTACATGCTTCTGAGCTCCATCAAAGCCTTTATTATAAGAGCACCAAAAAGAGTGAGGACAGGGAGAAGTTAGCTGATGTGGGAGTCTTCCCTCCTGCGTGCACTCTCGCTCTCTCCATGTACAAGAAGCAGAGTTCTTTGCCAGGGCCTCTGGGAGAAATCCTTTTAATATTTGTAAACTGCTACAGTACCTGTAACAAGAGCAGGCGGGTAACGCTGAGGTTTGATGTGAGTGAACCTGATCTCCTCGCTGTCCTGGAGAAGGGGACCAGCACAGGGAACTCTTCCCTCAGATGGAGGAGAAACTCTCCATCGCACTTAACGAAGACAGCAGCAAGCTAATAATTTGTTGTAGCTACCTATGTGTTGGCTAATTGCATAAGGGAAAGGCCCCAGCAGCCCGGCGTCAGCTCTGCGGCGGTTTGCACGCTTTAGCAAAGGTCTGCACCACGGCGTCTGGGGATTAAAACCTGCCACCCGCTTCTGGCAGGAGATAAACCCCACTGCGGCAGAGACGGGGTTACCTTCCCCAGAGAAAGCGCCAGCTAAGGCCAGCGTTTAGCTCAGGTTCTCCTGTCCCCTTCGGGCAGTACCAGAGCTTTCTGTCAGCAGCTGTGCCCCCGCGGGGAGCTCGCGGAGGAGCAGACTCTGTCCCCAACGAGACCTTTCTGTGCTTTGTCAGGGTAAGTGCCTCTGAAACAGATGCAGCAACCGCAACTGCTTGTGTTTATTGCAGCCCAAGGGCAACGCTTCCCTGCCTGCCGCTACCTCTCGACAGCTCAGGACACCCACGTGAGGGACAGACGTGGTCTCCGAGCCTGGCACAGCGCTGGGGCAGCCCGGGTCGGCCCCGGCTGCAGGCACAGCTCTGCGCTCAAGGCATCCGCACCGCAGGCAGCGGGCTCGTGGCCCAGCTCCAGTTTTCGCTTTAAGGACTGCCAGGGTACTTGAACGTACAACTCAAGCCAGGAAACTGCCGAGTGCCACTGATGATACTGCCCTTCTATTGTCCCAGTGAGATCACTCAGACAAAAGCAAGCCACAAACTCCTCTAATCTTGTCCAAAAGCTCAGCATTTTTCCTTCTAAATATTTAGGCTTCGCAAGACTAAAATCCCAGTGACTCCAAGGCAGACTGTTTACTGGGTTACCAACAGTTGCTAATGCTAATTTGAAGAGAACCAGATAAAACCCCCAGAAACTGGCTTAAAAAAATAAAATCTCCCACCAAGGTTTTATGTATTTACTTTTTTATTTAAAATTCCACCACTTCAGTGAGACAGCAAAAAAACAGAATGTAAGCTCCCCCTGCCAACACTTAAACAGAGCTTACACATTGCTGTAGCTACGCAAAGGGAAAAAACCTAAGATTGGTTTCTGCTTCATTAGACAAAATACAATGGTTACAGAACAGTAAAAATCAATAGGGAAATATTGAAGCTTGTAATGGATATTGGAAGCTATAAAGCCTGCACATACTGAGGGACCACAGGCCAAATTTAGCACAGTCCTCATGACATACCTACCTTTTCTTTTTGATTACCCATGCTAACAGGTTTGGTTTATAACATTCAATAGGCATTCCAGCTTCCCGGCTCCCTGATGTGCCCATTACCTTCACTGAAACCAGATGTCTCACCAGGCATCAGCTGTCAGTACCTCTGGGGAGGGAGCTCTGCACCTCAGCTCCTGCAGGGCTCCTCTGACAGCAGCTCCCAGCAAAGGGAGCAGGTACCAAAGCCTGGTCTCTCCGGATCGGTAAGGAACAGCAGCATGCTTTCCCATTCCAGGGCCGAGTATCGCTATTTATAGAGGTCTGTGCCTCACTCCATTCCCAATGAGAGAGATGGAGACCAAGAATTGCCCCAAGATACAGACACTATTTGCTGTCATGAAGACCAGTCTCCACCCCAAAAACATCCTCCCAGCCAAGGCACACACTGTTCAGTCGTTCTCTTCCAAAGGATAAACTAACTGTCCCGTTGCAAGTAATGCTTGATCTTCAAGAAAAAGGAACTGTGGGAGGACTGGGCAGCCTGCAGAAATGCATTTAATGAGCCTTCAACTATTCCCTGCCTACTCCTCCCCCTTGAAAGCCCTACCATAAGAAAACAGTCTTGCTTCCTTGCCTGCATCATAAGTAATTCTGAGCAACCCCAAGGGATCCATCAGCTGTCAGGTTGCCAGAGAAACATGGAGAATATGTAGGCCATAAAAATCAAACTAAAAACCAAGCACCTAATTAGTATGCAAAAATAGAAAATCAAAACTGAACAAGAGCAAAACACTGAACGAGAAGTAAAAATAAACCAGCCCTCCTCTGTCCTGAGAGCAAGTTGGAAAGTGGCCTGGAAACATTTCAGCCAAGGCTCAAAGCTCCCAACCTCTCAGTCATTTGGGACAGAGAGTTCTACAGTTCAGACACCAATTAAATTTCGGAAATCGCCCGCTGGCCCCCCAGCCCTGCCGAAGGCACGCTTCCAGGGTCCACAGCCAAGCCCACTCCTCCAGCAGGCAAGCTGTGTTCAACAAACCAGCTCCTCTGGAGGCAGGTCCTGGTGTCCCTTCTGTTAGAAGACGGTGAATCTACACTGACAACGTATTTGGACACAGCTGTGTAACTACCGAAAAACTTGAATTTCACCAGCACAGAGTGCAGATAAGCTCAGTGCTGCTCCTGCCTGGCAGGAATCTTCTGGGCCCCACTGCAGTATTTCATAAGGGCCCACCAACAAATTTATTTCTAAGGTCATTGACAATTGCGATGGCAAAAGTCTCTAGAACTGGCAAGCATAAGAGTTGGGGAGAGCTGAAGACAGAGCCCCAAATACTGTATCCGTCACCCGTATTATTAACATGGCGTGTGTGGCCTCTTCAGGCAGAGAATGCGTTACTGCTGAGAGTACCGAACCTGCTGTACAATCCACAGCTTGCAAGACACGATAAACCCACTGAAAAAGTTTCACAGTGCAAGTCACTGTTTGTGAAAGAAAGAATCAGATGAAATTTTAATGCAGCTGCCCTCCAATTCAGCTTTGTATGTAAATCAACAAACCAAAGACATGAACGTGAGGTGTGTAAATAGAGTGAGATGTGCAGATAAATCCCTTGGGCACCCGTGGCCAGGTCAACTGTGGGAATCTGAAAGCAGACGTGAGCCATGCCCTACATTGGAAATGGACGGTCTGGAGGCAGGAACTGTCACGTATCACAATTAAAAGCAGAAAAGACATCCTATCCAGTCCCCCCCGTTCAGCAGCAGGCATTAAGTGGCACTTGCTGGCAAAGGACAAGGGCCAAAGAGATTGCCTATAGCTGCAGGTAATCTCACACTGTCAGAAAATCACTCTTAATTTCGTCATACCAGCCATCCTTCTGATCCCCTTCTTTCCTGCATATGGGAAGGGAGAAAAATGACAGGATCTGCAAGTAAAAAGCTGCTGGTGTTGGGGAAGGGCGGGGCATAGAGAAAAGGCCAGGAGAACATCATTGTTATTCCCAAAGAAAGCAGAGACAACAAAACAACACAACCCACAGCCCAGTACCCCTGGAGATGCTGCCAACCTTCCTTTCTCTCCAGAAGAGAAAGACTCCAGAAGAGAGAGACTCCTCACCCCTCACCAAAAATCACACAGCCCCTCAGGAGCAGACACGTCCCGCACGACCCTCTGCTAAATCAGGAGGCCCCTCCTGTGGGCAGCAGATTACCAGCTCTCTAGCTGAGCCTCGCAGCTCAGAGGGGGCTGTGGGGAGAGTCTGACTCCTGTCCCCTTCTTCCCCGTTCAACTGGCTGCTTCTGCTGAAGGACAGCAGGCTACAGATGAGAGCCACAGCTCAAATAAGCATTGCTCTAATTCCACATAAGCATTAAAAATAACAAGCAGTACTTTAAAACTGGGATTGCAATTCACAACAGCTACATTTTAAAGCTACAGAGAATACTTTAATGCTATAATCCATATTAATCTGACACTAAGAACAAGACAAATACACCACAGATACTAATATGGTGCAGATGGTAAAGTGCAGGGCCACGTTAATGAAAGATGAGACTCTTCTTCCCTCTAGCGTGCATATAGACTTCCCTTAAATATTTACTCTAGTTTTAATGTCAGCAGCGAGTTCCAGCCAGTCTGTAGCTGATGGCAGCATGAAGTGATGTGTTGTTCCATGACAGCAGACAACAGCAAGTGTCCTAACTCCAAGATAAAGCATGCCTCTTATCAGGATGATTCCAGCCCTGCCCAGATCTCAGAACACTACTCAACTGCTGCCTGAAGATGCTCATGAAGTCAAGGAGAATTACACACGAAGGCTCATCTTACCAAGTGATGACCAAGCTGTCCCTGGTAGAGATGAGACACATGCATAGGAATATCTCAACTCACCCTTTAGGATATGTCGAACAATTTTAATGGAGCTGCCTCTCATGTTCAGAATCTGATGGACTCTCTGACGAATCTGATCAGGAACAAGAAAGAGAAGAAAGTAATATCCAATACAACATAAAACCACGCGCAACCCCCTTTTCCCCCACTTTCTTTGAGGGAAGAGCAGGAAACACTGCGCACCACAAAACCTAACTCAGCCTTGCTAGTCCACAGTCCCAGAGCAGACACTCAGAAACATTCAGGAAGGCATGCGGCACAGGTACAATTAACCACATAACACATTCATAAACCCCAATATATTCATGCTGGCAGAGATGTAGTATTTTGCACAGATCAAGAAAAGTCACCTGCTGTAGTCTGTGCCTTTGTGAGACCTTCTGAGAGAATGTCCCTTTCCACTACTCTCTCAGCACTGGCATAAATAGGGCCTTTCCGTTTCAAACTTTGACATCGCTCATGGCAGATTGTATGAATTCAATGACAATGATCAGCTTCTGTACCCACTAATGCCCTCCTAACTGCTATAACCTGATGAAAATGTACGGACACAAGTGCAATAAGCAGGAGGTTTCCACCCCAAAAAAAAAAAAAAGGAATTAAAGAGGAGATTATTCAATGAGGCAGTACTTGCAAGGGTTTAGAGTCTTGTTTGTATCATGGATGGAAATACAGGTGATCTGCCAACCTTGTATATAGCTTTACCTGGGGAACATTGGCATTACAGATCTCTGCCATGATGTAACAAATGAGCTGTAGAACAAAGAGACCGGCATCCAGGCGACGGAGATAGAATTCGTCTTCCATGTCATCGTCTATTATCTCTCCCCGACGCACCATGTCCTGTAAAGCAACACAAAGAAAAGGTGTGATGACTGTCTCTCAAAGTACTTCCCATTAGTAGTGGCAAAATGTTGGTGATAATTGTGGTTTCTTAAGAAACGCTTTGTTCCCCAAAACATTAATATCCATATATTTCTCACCAAAGAAGTACTTCTTTTAATAATTCATTTAAATTCACAAAACATTTCATTCAATTTTGAACAAGGTTCAGCCTTTGCTGGTTGTGAAGTGTGTCCATCTGCAAATTAAAATTTTAATTTAAACATACAAATTTCATTTCTACATGGAACGATTAGAGACTGTGAATATGGAACAAATCAGTGTATCTATAAGTTCTTTGTCAAAATGGAACAAAAAACCTGCTCTTTTACTGGCCATTTGAGGGTGCTGTTAAGCAGTGCAGAACATGACTCCACCAGACTCAAAGATCTATCAGGCTTCCAACTTCATTATTGACTGATGAATGAGAAAACAGGTCCGAAAATTCTGCACAAGTACACTTTACCACGCCCAGTCTTGCTCTTCCAGCTTCGTTTGTTAGGAATACTGACGGGGCCAAACCCCAGCCGGGGTCTGTTAGAAGACCACTGGCTTCTGCGGGCTTGCCGATGGTTCACTCTTCCTCTGCACACACGGCGTTTCACTAGCGAGACCTGCCCAAACGGAGGCCAAAGGCAGAAGGCCAGAGGCCATTCCATTCGTCTTGTTCAGACAGAGCACCTTCTTCAAAACACTGGTGAAAGCAGCCCAGCAATAAGCTCAGAGCAGCTTCCCCGCGAGAAAGGCCGGCCACGTCCACCAGCTGAACCTGCCATCCATTTTCATGGAGACCGATAGGCCAAAATAACTGATGTCATGTATGACCTTTTGCATTTCGGGGTTTGTTTTTTGGTTTTGTTCTTAAATAAAGCAAGCAGCTTGTCAGACCCTGCTAGCTCGCTGCAGCTTGTGTGATTTATTATGCAGCCGGCTGGCAGGTGGGCACACACCAACGGAGCAATATTTTCTCATTAGAGCCATCACCAGTGAGAGCACTGTACCTGTAATGCTCAACAAGAAGTGCTTCCTCGGGGTGCACATGCTCCAGGCAAACACACGCAAGGTCACCAGCACCAAAGCTGATTTAGGCTACCAAATTTTCCTGTTTTGTCAAGCCAAGCCCTTGCAACTAATTGTGGGTAGTTTTTTATGCACAAGAAGGGAAACTAACCCTGTGCACTTCTCACTGGAGAGAGTGCAATGGATGCTCACCGTACAGAAATCTGATTAAGTGACTTCAAAGTACAGCTGTTTACCACTGCCTCCCGAAAGTGAGAGAGGAAAGCACAGGTAATGAAACACTTTTCCTTTCCTCCTGGAAATCTAGCTTGCCAGTGAAAGAACAAGTTAAGCTTAAAAAACAATGCCTAGTTACTAATGCCATAAAGTCAACTGCTTTGGCTACACTACAGGATGCTTTAGCATCAGATCCTGTAGACTCCTGCATTTGCACAACTGTAATTTACTCCAGGTTCTCAAAATCATGGGCACAGGCACGACTGGGCAAAACTTGCACGCAAGCTCTTGCCAATAAAAAGAAAAATCCAATTTTGTGCAAGGAGTGACTTTCCTCACCCTACATGCATGCCAAATTGCTTGAATCTGATCAAATCTGGTCTCTAAAGCTAAACAATGTTGAGTCTGGCTAGCAAGAGATTGGAAGCCGTTGACTGAAATATCAAAAAACCCCATTCCAGAAAGACGACAATTCCCAAACTGCCTACCCTCCTCACTGCACACAGGCTTACTGGCTACTCTTCTCAACAGTACTAAATTCCTGAACAGAAAAACATCAACAGGCCAGGATTTTGAATCTCCAGAGCAGGCAACAAAGACTATGTCTGTTCTGTATTCCGATCCAAGCACGGCGATCACAGGAGCCGAATCCAGGCAACTGCTGTCTTGATTACAGAGAGAAGGCAGCAGTTATAACAGCCCCTCTCGACAGAGAAGCAAGATTATTTTGTGCCAGTAAATTAAGCAGATATGAATTAGAAGACAAGTACAGTTTTAAGGTGCCTTTTTTCAGTCTTTTTTTTTTTCTTTTTTAAACCACAACCACCCTTTAAATGCTAATCTGCCTCCCAGTACAGTACCAAATAGCCACCTTTCCACTTTGTCTCTCTTTCAAAGCTGTCAAGTCGCTAACCTCCAAATGAGCACTCAGATGCCATTTCTAATCTGCCAACAATATGTACTGAGATGCCCCTTGCTGATGGGAGAAGACAGCAATAAGATGGGCTTCTGTGAAGCTAAAATGAGCTTCTCTCACACTAATGAGGCAGGACTGACAGGCCTCGAGGTATCAAGTAGAGACTCGAAACCTAAAGATACGACGGATCTGCCAATGCTACGACGGATCTGCCAATGCTATACAAAAGATCACATCTGCTCCACATAGTCACTGGAGTAGGGCCCAAAAGATTCTCCGCGTCCTCCTCCTTCCTTATCTACCATGCACCTTCCCCAGCACACACAGCAAGGCTGGGCAGAGCAGAAGGGTTGGGCGCCGATCGAGAACAAAGACCACCTCCAGGATCCTGGTTTTACTTCCTCACCGGGTGGGATAGCGAGGCCACTCCAGGTCATCAGAGACAAGAAGGCTCCGAATGGCCATGCACGAAAACATCATCTCTTGTCTCCTACACCAGGTACAGATTCTCTCTCCTTAATACTTTCTGTCTGTATTACTGGGGAGGGGCAAGTGATGCAAGACATGCTCAGGAGGTGCTTTCAGACCACAGGCTAATAGCTAAACTCAAGGGCATCGCTAAGCTCTTGGTCAAAAAGGATACGCAGGAGACAGGGACCGACACTTGCAACAGGAGAGGAGCAAGCAGAAGCCTCGGGTGAAATCAGACCATCATAACAAGGACTGCCCAGGATCATCTGCTTTCAGCTCACAGCTGTGATGATTTCCCCAGGAGCCTTTCACATGCAGAGGCTGCAGACCACACGGTCTCTTCAGCAGACTGACCACTGTTTTCCTTGAAACACAGAATGTTAGGATTGAGCCCTAGTCAGGTCATGGACTCTACTGCAGCCAGGAGAGCAGGCAGGCATCCAGGTCACACCAAGGTGACCAAGAAGCTCTCAGAACCACACAAGAAACCAACAGAGCCCTCTGCCATGGGAAGGACTTTCTTCATTTCTGCCTTACAAGCAGAAACACGCTTGAATTTCTGTAAATTGAGCCACCAATCTGCAAGAGCTGAAAAACTCATTGCGACTGCTACAAAGCATACTATCACTTCCGAGTCAGGAGAAACAGAGCAGCAGCTCCTGCAGAGGTGAGAGCTCAATTTCAGCAGCAAGAAACGGGAACCATGTAGGGCAGTCATCTAAAAAGACCCACCAGTCTCAGCAAGAAAGTTCAAAGCTTACCTCAGCTCGCTGGCCGTTTGCTGGAAAAGGTCGCAGAACAGACAGCGTGAATTCAGCCACACTCCAGAACACACACGCCCTCCCGTGAACACAGTTGTGTGCTCTCCACTTGCACTAACACAGCCCCTGCCAGGACGCAATGTCCTGCCCTCAATACAACTCCAGGCAATTCAGTTTTTCTAAACAGAACTGAAATAACGGCCTGATACAAATTCCTATTTCACTTATCCCAATCTGTGGACATCACTCCCATGCTAGGAGTTCTACCTCTCCCTTTCAAGGATGGAATGACTTAACTGTAACACAATTAGCATATAATTTGTAAGTCATTATAGCGTAAAGTGTCTGGTGAGAATATTTTATCGAATAAACCTGCTGAGCATAATTTTCTGTGGAACTATAAAAATATTAAACCATCTCCTGTCTTTTCCTACCGTTTTTAGAGATCACTAAGGCTATTGCTGCCACCTGTAATTATGCCTCATTTTAGAGGGAGTTAAAAGCTGTAGGGTTTTGCACCATTTCCTACAGAAAGAATTAAAGAATTTGAGAGGGGGACAAGATATTTTCTAGGTTTCATTAACTAAAAACTCTGAAGAAAAGTGCTAAGACAGGCATCAGGTGTTGGAGACAAATGTTCACATGAACTTTGCTCCTGGGTTTCACATGGCAATTAGGGTAATCACTAAGTTACCATCTCTGGTCACTTCTGAATAGATTCCACAGAAGCAAACAAGCAGGTAACACTGAGAAGAAGGGAAGCTCTCCCTCTGGATCTCATCCTGTTTCATTGTCCCCGATTAAGGGGGGCAGTTTCATTACAACTGGTCTTCCTCAGAAACAGCTGGCTTCAGAAATTCCTCCCTTCCCTTCTACCCTCAACTATCCCCACACCTTCACCACCACAAGCTGAAGAGCTGGGCTATAAACCAGATCACTAAAACAAGCCAAGCTAAAAGAAAGAAAAAAGAAGAGAACTGCAAGAGCAGGAGCTTCTTACGCCAGCTGCACTGCTAAAGATAAAACATCAGGTGTGATACACTCAGTCATTCCTTGTATATAATCAGGTTTTAACTTCTTGTAATGCAAGACTTACACCAGGATACTCTGTCCATCAGACCTGAATCTCGCTCTCATCAGTAGAGGCTGAACCTGTAAAATCTCATCAGGTATCTTTTTTCTTTGAGGCAGGGAGAAAGGTGAGGATCTGTATTCCAGATTTTTGGGGTGCTATGTCCTCTACTGCAAGAGAAAGGTCAAAAGTCCTCAAGTGACATAGTACAGTTTCTAAAGGACCAAGTGTTCATACCATCCACTTCAAAGAGTCATGTGCCACAACTATAAACATTAAAGTGCTCCATAAATCCTGTCAGAGCCAGACAATGCTGTGATTTGATGACAGAATTATGGCTTTTCCCTACTTTTGCATGGGGAAACCGCTTGAGCCACTTCGGATCTCAGCAGACCTTTTCCCACCAACCATTTGAGGATGCTACAAAACAAAGCAAACAGTAATTCCAAGAGTGTTCCAAGCTAGGAATGAACCTCAACATCGTATTTCATACGTGTTGTGCCCAATATATTGCACACATGAGATGTTTCTGCCAAGTCCTATTATTAGCTCTAATAGGAGGGAAGAACTGAGATCCATTTATTCTAGCCATTCCAGCCTACAGAGCCCTGCAGTGGGGCAAAAGCACAGTGGCCTTCTGGATACAGGAGGAAAACCTGAGGTTCTTTGGTTTCTCTTCTGTTGTACATCAGTAAACGTGAATGAGTTAATATTATTACTCAAAGAGCTTCTACACAAGCTTCTTCACACTCAAATTCCCTTCACTCCTGCTTTGTGCTGGCTGCTTGCTACAGGTGTTAACATTCGCAGACTGCTTCAGGATCTTTTTGGATAAAGGGCACATACACTAGCTCTGTATAGCAGTGCCCATACACCGCAAGACTTCAGCCAGAAAAATCCATTCTGGTTTTTTATGTCTAAAACCCACACACCAACATTGAAATGTAAAGAATAAATAATTTCTTGCTCTGTTCCGAGGAGGATGAATGGAGCGCAGAGGGACAGCAGGAAAGGGTAAAGGCTGTTTTTCTTCAGGCCACCGTTCATTTGTGAAGCTGCAGCAGTCCATATGGAGCCCGAATGCTGGCAGCAAAAGCAACTCCATTCACCACTCACCCCCGTGCCTTTCTGAGCAGCAGCAGTGCTGCTGAGCTCCGATGCCCTCGGAATGTTTGCCAGTGGCCAGAGAAGTGGCCTTGGCCGTGGGCAGACAGCTGTTTGTCGGAGCCTGGCGGGGGGCTGCAGCCCGTGGCACGCGGAGCTCGCCCGCGTGCAGGGACAGCGGCTGCAGTGATTACTCTCCGTCAGTGCTAATCAATCTCACACCCTCCTCAGTGCTGATACACATAATCTTGCGGGAAGCCGGCCAAGCTCGCTAACAGCTCTGCAAGCTGCTTCCTGACTCCAACAGCTCATTCTGTTTCAAAAAGTCTGTTCCAGCTTCAGTTCCAAGAAAGTACTGTGTGGTACCAAGGCTCATGTCATTCAAAACGATTCACTGCTGGTGTGCAGAGAGCACACCAGCCTTTGGCTGCAGCCTCATCTAACTAATCAAAATAGACGCTTTCTCGCAGCTGATCAGAACTCTAAAGACCAGGGTAGGAGGCCTCGCACATTATCATGTAATTGTCTCTCTGCATTTCACTTACTCTCCATCTGCCAAACCAAGCAAGATTTCAGCCAAGTAAAAGTGAAGGCAAATTGAAGCACAGACTTAGGCCCTCCTAGTAAAATTCACTCTAAGAAAAGGCCAGAAGCACCTGCTGTAGAGAAGTTCTCAGCGCATTTTATCTGAGGTTAACTGGAAACTGGAGAGCGGGACAACAAGAATTAAGAGGTAACAGTACAGGTATGAGGGCACGGCCCAGAAGAGCGACCTGGCTGAGCCAGAAGTTCTGTGCAGACGACCCGCCTGTGCAGAGGTATTGTAGACATGAGCTGGCAAAACTTAAGCAATACATACATGTTTCTCTCCATCAATCTTCTTGTCAGCTGCCTGCATTGCATCCAGGTACTTAAAATACAGTTCCATCAGCCTATCAACCTGCAAGGGCAGAAGAGAGAGACCTAAGCAAGAAAAAAGAACAATGCAATCATCTTCAATTCTTCATGCTATGTTGTTTTCCTCCCAGCTGCAGTCTTCACAAAGTAACAGGCAATTCTGTCACTCACAGGAAGGAATACATTACAGAAGGATGGTACAAGTGTTCGTCGGATGAGCGCACTGAGTCCACAGGCATTTGAATGTAATCCCATATCACAATATGGTCTCGTCAGCTCCAGCTAAACGGCAGCAGACACATGTCCCTAGCTCGCTCGCTCTCCTGTGCTGTGGTTCTCCAGTTCTCCTGGTTTCTTCAGCAGACCTTTCTGTCTAGGCTGTATGTAGCCAAGTTTATGTTAAATGTATCAGACGTTATGGCTCTCCTGCTCTCCTCTGTATTGTATTAGGCAACTGAAAGCCTATCTAGTAATGGGAAATTTTCTGCAATCGGTAGAACAGGTTATGAAAAACACCTTTAAAACACATTAATGAGGAATACTAAGGAACCAGTATTTCCCCAGTGGTGGAATTTACAAATCCCTAGGGAATTACTGATTTGCAAAAGTTGCTGTTTCTGTTTCCCAGCTGTTTAATCTATCCACCGCCATGCAAATATTTTTGAAAGAATTTCCCAGAGTAAACACCACTGAAGTCATTCTAGGAGAGGAATGGGGAATGTTAAATGTGTACTATAGCAATTCCTAAACTCTCTGCAAAAGAGCTTCACTAGAAAAGACTGGCACCTTTCCACACTGCCCTGGTCTCCCAGAGCCAGCACAATGTAATACCACACAACACGTGTTATATGATCAGGCTTCAGCAGAGAGACACAACCCAGGACTGAGAATCACTACTACCATGTGCAAGAGCACCAGAAAACAAGAGCACAGGTGATGCGGGAGGCCAAGCACTAAAGGCATTTCCAGTTCTCCAGTTTGTAGATAACAACACAAACGAGAGAACGACGGCCTGTGAAAGTACAAGTCTCTCTAGGCAGGTGCAAGAACGGCTATTCAGTAACTTAGCGAGTGCACACAGGCACCCTGCCGTTATCAAGTATCCTCCCAGCCTGGTAGCCCAGAGACTGCAGACACATATTCAGCACTCACCTTCTCACTGTCATTCTCCGTGAATTTATTCAGTAACCGTGTCCTCTGCTGCCCTCTCAGGTTTCGCAAAAGGGAGGCCAGGATGGAACAGACATGTTCTGGAGATACAAAATGAAAATTGCATGCTGAGATCAGGAACAAGAGCTTATTTTCTCTGTAACATGCCATTAAATTTATTACTAGCACTCCCGCGTGTAGCGGTTGATAAGCAGAACCCTGGTTCCTTCCCATCACCGGTGAGCGGAGGCAGAGCGGTGGCAAGAGCAGCCAGCCGTGTTTGCAGGGAGCACAGACGGCTCCTCGCCCATCACAGCCCAGCTAGCGAGGTCTCCTCCGGCTCTGCTGCACTACTCCTGCTAGCACTGATCCTGCTTTTCCTCAGTGACCTGAAAAAAGCACCTAAACCACAACTTCTGCTCCAGTTTACCTCCCCAGGCTGGCACACCTGCCTAGCAGCACGCGCTCTTTTTGGCACCCTCCATCACAGCTACAGGCACAGCATGCTGCCCCCTCCCCTGGGGCTAAAAGGAATCCTGGCCCCAACGCAGCCTGAGCCAGCACTGTCACTCAGATGACCCTTAGGTTACCAAAGAGAGGACGGTTATTGAAACAGGAGAGCTTGAGAAAGGAATAACCGTGCCAGCGTGCAGCTCCTGTAGAGACTTAACTGGTGTTACCTAGAGGAAAAGATCCTCAAACAAACCACTTTTATTTACAGAAAATCCCCTGGATTGAATATGAATGTGCTACAACAAACCAGAAACAACCAAATAAACATGTTCTACGGTCTTCTCAGTCACACTTGGGGGTCGTATTTTACAACACAAACCTTGGAGCCAAGTAAAAAGTCAACGTTGCAAGCACACAAGAGACAACATCTGTGATAATGTCCAACCACAGCTTCACACTGAAAGGTGACTGAGCCAAGTGCCTCAAACCCCCAGCAATGCTGGTCTCCTCCCGAGGAGCAGGACTGAGCTCTGAGGAGTTCCTTCCGTGGGAACACAGATGTCCCTTGGCGGGGGACCACCAAAGGAGGTACTGAAGGGCCACGTGGCATTGCTGCTTCTGTGCCCGGCACACCTTTCAGAAGCTCCTCCTGAGCACCAACGCGGTGCACTCCTCACTGCAGCCAGCTGCTGCAACGCGCCAGGTTCAAGTGGTGTTCAAAACCACAGCGTTTCTGAACGGGGCCTTGAGCTCGTCGCTCCTGGAGGGACAGAAAGCAACATGATCTTCTCCAAAAGCACACTTTTTCACACAGAGTGTCTTACGCTTCTTTGACCGTTAATATTTGGCTGTACCAGACTTCAGTGAAGTATAAAAGCAAGTGCTTCTCTGTGCCCTTGTTTCTTCAGAAGGATTCACCAGTTTTTTGTGCAACTTATATACAATATACATATAAAATCATACTGGTTTGAAACATTTTGAGTAAAGCTCTCGTTACAACTCTCACGCTCTGGCTCTTTCTCATTTTGCCCATGAACACTTTCCAGAGTGGAGAAACCGACTCACCCCTGGGAGCCATTCCGAGGCGAGGGAAGGAGCCCAGGGAAGGCGTTTGCTTTCCTTTTCTTGTGAAAGGGAAGCAGAGCGGTCACACACCGCACTTCTGCACCCTCGGTATCACAGGAGATGCAAATCATTTGCAAAATGTATGTCAACAGGAGAAATGATGTTGGCAATATCAAAGAGTATATCGTTTTAATATGGGGAAATAAAACCAAGCACAAAGGTGCAAAGCAAATGAGAGAGGCACGTGTTTCTCTCCCTTGCCAAATCATTCGGTATTGCTTCCTGCCTACAGGTCTGCATTAAGCACAGACCTTATGTTTTAGACATCTCAATGTATTCAAAACTGTAACTTCTCCAAGATGTCCTCACTCTAATCTTGCTGATCAAGACTGGTGAAATATAATGGCCATAATGGTGGGGAGAGGAGAAGGGGTGTCAAGGTTTGTTATTTTCAGAGAGGAAAATGCAATGTGCAGAGGAAAGGGATCATCATCTTATTGCCGTCAAACCATTTTAACATGCATTTCCACAGCACTGCCTAGCCTGGAGCCACAAGAAGCCTTGATCGATTGCACCAGCGTACAAAGAATAAGCAACACCGACGTGTTTGCAGGGAGCTTCTGCGATAACTGCCAGCTTACGCTGCCGCGGAAAGGCGAAGTCACACGGGCTGCTTGTCCAAGTTGTGTCTGCCCACTCTGTAGCACAGATTATCTGCATACTACATAAGGGCAGCAAACAGAAGAGGCCGTACACACGCATGCACACACCCCATTTCATTAGCTACTTATAAATGTAGCTTCCCTAGAAACAGATTTCTGCCTGAGGTGGTGTCAATTTTTCATGTACCAAAGAGATTGGGAGAGCTGCTGGCAGGAGGAGCAGAGGAGATAACAGGTTTATCGGGTGGCCAGCACCGTGCGGCTGCTCTGTCATTTTGACAGGATAACATGGGGGTGAAGGATGGCTCTGGGTATGTCAGTGCACGCTCTCGCTGCAGAGAAACAGTTATTCCACAAAAAGCGACACCAAATTAAGTGTCTACATTAAAAATATTGTAAAAGCCTCCAAAGTCCTTGCAAGATCCTATTTTCTTAAGGTGAAAAAAAATACGACAAAATGAAGACTTTTTTTTTTAAATACATCCCAACAGATGCTCTGCTGTTTTAGAAAGAAGCCAGCATTCTGTATTTCATGCTATTTTTTCCCAAACCTTCTTTTTTTGGAAGTGTTTAGAAGTGTTGACACAGTATTTTAGTAGTAATATTCTCACTAATGATACATCTTTATTGCTTTTTTCCAATACTCCTTTACTAGGAAATGTATTTTAGCCATCATTTTTGCTTTGGTGCTCATATGCAGATATTTATCCATTTTATCAATATCATCTTTAGAACTACTGAGAAGTCTAAAGAAGCTGACACAGGTTTTTTAAGAATGAGGTTATTCTTTCAACATATCACTCCAGAAAATCCAGGAAATATTTAGTTGCCTGGTAAAAATGTTAAAAAAAATATTGTACAGAAATATTTCTGAACTATCGAAACCTTTTTTTTAATCAGCTTCCTGAAAAAAATGCACTACTGTGTTTCATACTCCTCCCAAAAAATCACAGTTATGCCATAATGCAACTCCTGGCCCAATAAACACCAACATCCATGTGCAAGAACACCAGCCAAAAATCAGGACAGACCTTGGCGTAAGAAAAGTGCTATGGGATAAGTGGCTGAATCCATTATTCAATGAACAAAAGCATTTACACAAGCAATCAGAGAGGTGTTAGCCTGGGAGTGAAGGTTTCTGCGGACGTGGGGGTCTCTCAGTCTTCCCACGGACTGCACCAATATCTATCTCACATATGCAAAATTTTAGAAGTCCATAATCACAATATTTGCTCTGAGTTGGATCTTCTTCAGAAAACGATTAGTAGCTGGTGCTATTCTGAGTCCTCAGAAAGAAAAACCTGCAGCTGCCCAGCTTTGATCTCAGCTGACAGACAGAGGCCACAAGCCACACATCACCCTCGGACGACGCCTGGGGTAGCCTGCCTGCCTCTGAATACTTTGGGAACTTCTAAATAATCGTGCCAACGCTCAGCCAAAGTCCACATCACCTGCACAAAAAGAGTTATTTTCAAGGAGGGCAACAGGCAAGGCCAGAGGCAGAAGTTGCTGCCTAGCCCCTGTCTCTAAGAACGACTCAATGTATTTCCTTTGAAAAGCAAACACCGAAACGAGCCATGCTCAGCACCACCAAAGATTCCTTTAAAGGAATAACAGTCATCAGCTGGCAGCTAGTATGCATCAAGAACAACTTTTTTCACATAAACATCCCCAAATCTCACGAATTTATGGATATGGGAAGACAGAGGCTTCTTTCTTATTAGCAGAGAACCCTGTTTTCTGCCCCATCGGCTGCTTCACCTGCACGTACCTGTTATTCTCCACAACGCCGACGCTGCAGTGCAGCGCACCGTGCCAGCCACGTCCCTGGTTCTAGGCAACTCACATCGCCTGTGCTCACCAGAGTCCTGCTTAGACCAGGATCACCTCGAGCTCTCGGGAGCCGTTCCATCTCCAGACAGGCACGAAGACTTCAGAATGCAAGCAGTGTTTAAAACACCCTAATTAGATCGAACTTGACTTCAGCTGCGGCATGTTGGAATACAGATTAATCTATTCCATGGCTGGCACTGGCAGCTGCAACAGCAGGAGGTCCTGTCAAATCAAGCTGTAACATTACACTCCTCTCCCTTTATTATTACCCCCCCCTTTTTTTTTTTTTTTTTACGTTTCATTATAACAGACATCTGCCTAGCAGGGGAGGAAGCTCAAGCACGCTGCCCTGCAATACTGACGCAGATGAGGCAAGCATCCTCCCGAAGGGGACGCCTGCACTTCTGGGTGCAAGGGGACAGCAGCCATTAGGTGGACAAGCAGGATATTCTGGTGAACCCAGCAGAATACATTTAAGAGCCTTCTGTCTTGTAAAGAACTCTTAAGATAAATTGTGGTTTCTAATTAGGAGCAGGAAAATACCAGGGGAAAAAAAAAAAAAGCCAGCTCTTTCAGAAACTTCTACCCTTCCTAGGCACAAAACTCTGTGGCTTCACATCTGTTTGCTGCGAAACCTGGACAAAGCCCCTGGCATATCCTAAGGACCAGCAGCTCCCCAGCTCTGCGAGGGAGGACGCTCGCACTGAGGCCACGCTGCCAAAACACCCCGGGAGCAGGCGTGCGACCGACCCAGCCTAAATCCGCAGCAGAAGAGGAGTGCCGAGAGGCGACTTCTGAAGCCTCTCCTCTGCACGGCTTTCGGATGCATATGAATGCGTTCAGACGGAGCTTTTGCAATGCAGCTTGTAAAGTCACGGAAGACTGACTGCTCCTGCACTCCAGGAGTGTTTTGGTTCGTTACAGGATTACAGGTGGAACCAGGGACATGCTATTCCAATGGTGTGTCATCTAATAAGCCTACCCATTTTCACATGCATTAATAATCTGCATTTTACAGGAGTAACCCACTCAAGTATGACAGTATATCTTATTATTAAGATAAGAAAAATCTTATCTTAAAATACTGA